ATTGACAACTGGGGAGGGTTGTTCATAGGATATGTGCTCATTTAAATTGTTTTATATTTATTTATTTAGTTCAGGGTCTCGCTACGCAGCTCAGATCAGTAGTGATCCTCCTGTCTTAGCCTCCCCAGTGCTGGGATTACAAGTGTGCACCACTACGCCCGGTTTTGGGACAGTGGCGCACATAGGGTTCCAGGGCCAGCACAACATGTGGTACTGGGGATGAAACTCGGGTCCTCGCGCCTGTCAGGCAGGTGTGCTTAGACTGCCGAGCTATCTCCCCAGCCCTATGTGCCATTTGAAATCTCTTGGATTTTTTAACATACACAATTGTTTATGTCCTTTCACTAAAATTTTTATTTATTCAATCTTATTGAATTAGCACTGTGAAACCCTGTTAAACAGTAGTGACACAGTAAGCACCTGCTTTGTGGCCAGATTTGAATGGAAAGGCTGTTAGTTCACAGCTTAGCCTGTATCATGTAACTACCTTCATTTTATCCTGTTCAAGACTTTCTTTTAGGTCCTTTTATTCAGGGTTTTTTCAAGTATGGCTCTTGGATTTTCAAAAAGCTTTCACTATATCTTGATATGGTCATTGTTTTTAATCCTTTTACGTTATGTAATAGATTATATAACATTGAACTAGTCTTTCATTCCTACAAAATAAATCCTACCTTAAAAATAATCCTCTTAGCTTCCTTTTTTCTCTTTGGGGACTGAATCCAGGGCCTACCCACTGAGCTGCACCCCCACCCTGTCCTTTCTGTATTGAGACAGAGACTGAGCTGAACTTGTGATCGTCTTGTATTAGGTTTACAGGTGTGTCCACCATGCCTGCCCTTCCCCTAAATCTGTTTTATTCTGGATAATTTAAACATCTGTGAAAGTAGACAAAATACACAATGATGTTATGAGTCCCCATATAGTCATTATTAACCTTCAGATTAACACCTGGTGTCCAGTCTTGCCTTGTCTATATCTTTTCTACATCCCCCCACAGCCCAGAGACATGGTCTAACTGTGTAATTCAGGCTAGCTTTGAACTCATTATGTAGCCCAGGCTGACCTCAAACTCTCAGTGATCCATCCTCCTGCCTCAGCCTCCCAAGTGTTGGGATTACAGGTGTTCACCACCATGTTTGGCTCTACACCTCCTTTCATCTATAATATTGAAATATCCGACATCATATAGACAGATAGATAGGGCTCGATGAAGGCAGGTGTTGATGTACCTATATGTGTGAGTATGTAAAGTGTATACATACAGACTTTTGTGTGTGTTTGTGGTGCTGGGGGTCGAACCCGGGGCCTTGGGCATGCACTCTACCACGGAGCCACATCTCCAGCCCTACATATAGAATCTTGACTGCATCAGGTTTGAAAGTAAAGTTCACATTACAATAGATTAATCGTCTGTAAGTCTCCTGATAATATGTAATGTTTCTTTCCCTAATCTTTTTTTCCCTGTTTGTCAAAGAAGTCAGATCATTTGTCCCATTATCACCCTTACGCAGTCTCCTTCCGTCTGGATTTCGTAGATTGTCTCTATATAAAGATGTTTAATACATCTGACATCTGTATTCTTTGCAAGGTGATGTTTGTTTATTCTTTTAATATGCTGTTATATTCATCTTTTTAATATTTAATTTAGGGTATATTTCAAGATGAAAATTTTTTGAGCATGTTTTCTTCGAGGTTTTGCTATTAGGATAATGCTAAATAATTGATAAACCCTCTATTTTTCATGCTGTGGAGTGATTTGCATAATTTGGGGAGATAGTTGAATATTCCCTGCTAAATAGTAGATCGTTTTAGAGGAGCTCTATCTCCATTTTCTGGAGCAGATCCTTTCAGGCTTATTTTATTGAAATAGCATAACCCTGATAGAATAACCTAATAAAAGTAAACTAATTATATGTAAAAGTCCAGCATTTAGCACCCACACCATTGAAAGAATAAAATGTGAACTTGAGTTTATTGTTGCCTAAGGTCTGCTCTGATTCGCCTGCTCTTCATCGCTGCGACACTACTGCAGGCCTCCATCCTTTCTTCTCTGTTGATCTGCTCGCCTCCACTTAGTTCTCCACAAATTCATTCTTCATGTTGCAGTTCTATTTGTTTGTTTGTTTGTTTGTTTGTTTATTTTGCAGAACCAGGGATTGAACTCAGGCCCTTGCGCTTGCCAGGCAAGTGTTTATTCTACTGAGCCATCTCCCCGGCCCCTGCAGTTCTTTTTAAAATGCAGGCCTAATCACAACATTCTCACTCAGATTTGCAATTGACAGCTGGGGACCCACTGTTACATCAAGCACTAGAGGCATCCTACCTTTATTGAAAGCACGTCTAGAAGGAGAGACAGATCCAATAAGTGATAAATAGATAATTAATAACTGAGAAGTGTTCTAAAGGAAGGAAATCATGGTTATAGCAGATTAGAACAAAGAAATCTGATCTAAATGAGAGTAAGGCAGTGTCTCTTGGAGAGATGATGCTTGTTTTTTTTTAATGTATTTTGTACAGGGTCTTACTACTCAGTTTGGACTTGTAGTGATCCTCCTGTTTTCAGCCTCACCAGCGCTGAGATGACAGGAGTGTGCCACCATTCCTGGTCTTGGCAGCCAGCTCAGTGTGCCCAGGGGCAGGACTAGCATGGCATGTGGTTCTGGGCATCGAACACCAAGCCTTGAGCTTGCCTAGTCAGGTATTTAGTCCATTGAGCTGTATCATTGGCCCAATGCTTGAGATAAAAACTGCAAAGTGAGGACCAAGGAGATAGCTCAGTGGTCTAAGCACCTATCTGGCAAGCAGAATTTCCTGAGTTCAATCCCTGGTACTATATGCCATGCTACCCCAAAACCAGAGGTGGTGGCACATGCCTGTAATCCCAGCACTGGGGAGGCTGAGACAGGAGGATCACTACGAATCCAAACTATAGCAAGACTGTATCCAAAAAAAAAAAAAAAAATTCTTTTTTCATTAAAAAAAAAACCTGAAAAGTGAGATAGAGATAAGGCAGAATGAGAAAAAACATAATCAGAGGGTAATGTGTATATAGGCCTTGTGGCTGGCAGAAGCATAGCATATGCTAGGAGTGACGGGATTAATGGAGGGAAGTTAGGCATGGCCAGATTGTATAAAGCCACATCAAAAGCTTGACTTTGGGGCCAGGGAGATGGCTCAGTGGATTAAGCGCTTCCCTGGCAAGCTCAAGTACCTGAGTTCAATCCCTGGTTCTGCCAAAAAAAAAAAAAAAAAAAAAAAGCTTTAATTTTTGCGGTGTTGAGGATCAATTGCAGGGCCTCCGACATGCTAGGCAAAGACTCTACCATGGAGCCATACCCCTATCCCCGTGGTAAAGGTCTTTGTATTGTGTCCAAGTTCTTGGGGAAGTTACTGAAATGCTTTAATCAAAGTTAAAAATGAGTCTACAACCTGTGACTTTTTTTTTTTTTTTTTTTTTTAAATCTTTTTGTTTGTTTATTTGGTACAGGGTCTCACTTTGTAGCTCAGACTCCTAGTGATTCTCCGGCTCAGCCTCCCTAGCACAGGGATTCTAGGCGTGCGTTGCGGTGCCTGGTTTCAATGGCTGGCCCGGCGCTCCTGGGGTTCTGGGTCCTGCACAGCGTGCAGTACTAGGGATCAACCCAGGTCCTTGTGCTTACCAGGGAGGCACTTAGACCTCCACGCTGTCTCCCCAGCCTATTGTTACATTTGAGATGTACATAATGATCACAGTCATAGAGAATTTGTATCCATAGGTGATACATGGCTTGGTTTCTTCTCCTTCCTCTACTCTCCCCTTCAACCTACCTCTCTTCCTCATTTGCAAAACGTTTCCACGTTTTCCCTCTTTTCAAAAATTTTTCCTCTTTTCCCTTCCCACTTCTTTTGTCTTCCCTTCACAATACCAATTATACATTTTGGTTCTTGTTTATACTTTCAGTTTTTCACACCAGAGAAACAGTGCAGTATTTACACATGTGTCTGATTTATTTCACGGTTTAATCTCAAGGTGCATCCGTTTTCCTAGAAATGTCTCGCAAGTATCCTTTACAGCAGAATAGTACTTCATTGTATAAAGCGAAACAAAACATCTTCTTTATCCATTCACCAGTTGATGGACATTTGGGCTGTGTCCAAGATTTGGCTGTTGCAGACTGTGCCGCTGGTAACAGGCCTGCATGTATCGCTGGCACGATGCTTTCAGTTCTTTGGGGATGATCCACAGAGGTGAATTACTAGGTCAAATTATACCTCTAGTCCTAGGTTTTTGAGGACTCTCCACACTGATTTTCACACTGATGGTACCAGTCCACATACTCACCAACAGAGAAGGGTTCCTTTTTCTCCAAATCTCCACCAGCATTTGTTATTGGTTGATTTATTGATAAAAGCCATTTTTTGGGGGGGGGGGGACCAGGGAGAGATAGCTCAGTGCCTTAAGCTCCTGCCTGGCAAGCACAAGGTCCTGAGTTTGATCCCCAGTACCGCAAAAAAATGCAATAAATAAATAAATTTAGGGGATAAATTTTGGGGTAAAAACTTCTTAAAGGTGAGAAATAAAAATTTCCCAAAACAAATCGTACTATTCTGCATTACTAACAAGCATTATTAAGCAAAATAAGGTAATAATTGGCTTTCATGGAGAAGTAATTGTTTAGATAAGTGTACATTTCTGAAAACAGATAATTTCTTTGGGCCACATACTCCTTGAACATATGTAACAACTATGCAGCATTTTAATTTAAGGGACTAGTTGGGAAATGAGTACTCTACAACCATAAAAAGCTTTGATAGTGATGCCATAAAAGATTAAGGGAACTATTTACATAGGAATTGATAATCTATTTCTCAAGTTATTTAATGATAAAAAACAGTTAACAAAAGCAAAGACTTTTTATCAAAATTATCGTTCAGGGAAAGCTTTCTAAGTAGCTTGTCATTTGCAAGGCTTCTGAATTTATTTATTCTAACTTGTTTCTGTTTTCTTGCCTTCGTAGGAAAGTAGTTATTTTGATGGACGTAGAAGTTTTGAAATCAGCTTCAACTGTTGGAGTAAAGATTGGCAATCCACTGCCCTATAATGAAGGTAAAATGCTTTTTACAGGTCGTAGCTCTTAACTGAGCACCTCTTTATAAAGCCAGGATTTTATGTTTTGGGAGCAGTTTGAGTTTTTAGCCTTAATAAAACAATGATTTTGGGGAGTAGGAGTCAGGTTATCTTGTTAGGTTTTTTAGTATTAAATGATATGTAAATGGAATGTGAGCAAGAGAAAGAATGTAATGAATGTTGTCTCTAAGATCAGTGAAGGGAGAGTAAAAAATAACAAGTATGTTGAATATTAATATAGTATATTATAGGCAGAGGAGATCTGTAACAGAAGTGAGAAAGATGGGTATTTATTTATTTATTTATTTATTTTTCTTTAAGATAGTCTTACTATGTAGTTGAGCTGGCCTTCAACTCACTATGTAGTCTAGACTGGCTTTGAACTCATGGAGATCCTCCTCCCTCAGCCTTCCAAATGCTGGGATTACAGGTTTATGCCACCACACGTGGCAAGAAAGATGTTGTCAGGTTGGGGAGCTAGCTCAGTAGAATAAGTGCTTGCTTGGTAAGTGCAGGGTCCTGAGTTCAATCCCCGATACCACAAAAAAAAAAAAAAAGAAAGAAAAAAAAATGTTGTCTTAGTCACTTTTAAAAAATATGACGTATTCACTGTACATTCCTTTGCTAAATACTTAACATACTGGTAGTTAATCGAATTATCTCTGTTACTAAGCTATCAATAAGCACTGAAGGTAGAGACTATATTTGTTCTTTCTGCTGTTGTAACCCTAGTCCCTGGTTATAGTTGGCCCCCAGCAAGTATTCATTGAATTGTACAGTGTTAAACAGTGATTATTATGTCTTGGTGGCAGAGAGTTTATTTTCTCATGGAATGTACAGAACAACAGAATGAAATCAGATTCATTACTTTTCAATTACAGTTCTAGAACAAGACAAAAAGAATCATTAAATCATTGAAGAGAAGGTTTGGGCCAGCCAAATAGCTCAGCATACTAAGCACCAGCTTAGTCAAGTGCAAGGACGGGTTTGTTCCCTGGCACCACATGCTGCATCAGCCCCGTGCTGGAGCACACTAAGTTGGCCACTGAGACCTGGTTACACAGCGCGCCTGTCACCCCAGCACCAGGGAGGCTGAGAACAGGATCACTACGAGTCCGAGCTGTGGAGTGAGACCCTGTACTAAATACATACAAAAAAGAGAAAGGGGGGGGTGTATCTGTCACTCGACCAAGTCAAAGAAGATTATGGCTTTCACTGTACACCAAAATAAATTGTAGGTGTATTTTTAAAAGTTAGAAAGTAAAAGCCTTCAAAAATGAAGATAAAGAGGGAGACTGCATAAATGGATTAGAATAATTCATAATATTTGATTATACTGACATTTAAACATTATTACACGTTAAAAATAGAAAAGTCTAGGGGCCAGGGAGATGGCTCAGTAGGATAAGCGCTTGACTGGCAAACGCAAGGATCTGAGTTCAATCCCTGGTTCCGCAAAAAAAAAAAAAAAAAGAAAAGTCTATACCCTTAAATGAGGATAGGCCCCTGGCCTTAGCTCAGTTGTTTAAGTGGCTGCTTCCACAAAGCTGTCAGCCTCAGGATGCTGTAGTTGGATCCCCACAACACTCCAGCCTGCCAAACCACCCCGAGGGCATTCGGAGCAAAAAAAAAAAAAAAAAAAAACCTTAAATGAGGATAAAGTATTTACAGCAGATAGGATTGGCAGGTGGTTAATATATTTAATATTTACTGAATTTCTTACATGTCAAGGAAGTAGAGTACTGTATTCCTATAGCAAGCAGGTATTGGGTAAGAACAGACTGTTTGCTGTAGGAAGCAAACTGTTGGTCAGTATGTAAGGAGACATACCCAGCCTCCCAGGTCACATTGTCTTGTTACCTGTTAGGGAGGAGAGCTCCAGACTTACACTGTTAAATGTTCTGTTAATGATAGTCTTTTGTATATTCTTACCACTTGAGAAAGTTTAGTTTCTTGTCTACTGAGAATGTTTGTCAGGAATGCGTGGTGAATTTGGTCACACACCTTGTGTCTATTGATATTCGTGCAGTTTTTCTCTTGGTTGGTTAGTATGGTGAATTACAGTGGTTGAGTTTTGAAAGCTAAGCCAACCTAGGATTTCTGGGCTGAGCATTTCATTATGATGTGTTATCCTTTATACATACTGCTGAGTTTCCTTTGCTAGATCTACTTGATTTGATTTTTTTTTTTTTTTTTTTTTTTTTTTGTTTTTTTTTTTGTGGTACCAGTGATCAAACTCAGGACCTTGAGCTTGCCAGGCAGCAGCCTATGCCACTGAGCTGTATCTCTGGTCCCAATTTGATTTTTTTTTTTAATTTGATTTTGTTTAGACTTTTTACATCTGTATCCATGAGAGAGATTCTTTTTCTCATTTTGTCTTGTCTGATTTGGGTATCAGGGTACTCTTTTTTTATGATTAATTGACTGATTAATTGATTTGGTACAGGGTTTCCCTACACAGTTCAGACTTGCAGTGATCCTCCTGTCTGAGCCTTCCCAGTGCTGCTGGGATTACAGGCGTGTGTGCCACCACGCCTGGTTTCAGTGGCCAACATGGTGTGCCTGGGGTCCTGGGGATGAAACTGGGGTCCTTGTACTTGCCAGGCAGGCACTTAGACTGCTGAGCTATCTCTTTAGCCATGTCAGAGTAATCTTGACCTCCTGGAATGAATTGGAGAGTGTTCCTTGCTAAATTTTCTAAAAGAGTTTCTGTAGAATTAGTTCCTCCTTGGAAATTTAGTAGAATTCACCAGTGATACCATCTCCTCCCCCCCCCTTTTTTGCTGCCACTGCTTTTTTTAAAAAAATACCAGAGATTGAACTCAGGACCCTGCACTTGGCAGGCAAGTGCTTATTCTACTTAGATATCTGCTCAGCCCCTCCCTCCCCTTTTAATGGAAAAGTTTTAAACTTCAGTTTAACAGGTACAAGGTTTTTCAGGTCATCAATTTCTTCTGTTTGCTTTATTTTTAAATTTATTTATTGATTTGTACAGGATCTCAGCTGACACAGCATGTGGTACCAGGCATCGAACCTGGACACTTATGCTTGTCAGGCAGGTGCTTAGACTCCAGCTCCATGTTTACTTTAATAGATTATATCCATTTCATTTAAGCTCTTGAATTTATTGGCCTGTATAAATGTAAATATTACAAATTTCCCAATTTAAAAAAGCAGAAGTATGGGGCTTGCGGGTTAGCACAGTTGTTTAAAGCGCCTGCTAGGGCAAACCCAGTCAGGCACGGGACTGCGGTTCGATCCCCAGATCCACATGCTGTACCAGACCCCACCCTTAAGGCAGCCTAAGCCAGCCATAAAAAATAGCAGAAGTGATACTTTTAAGCAGTGTAGAATCTGTGGTGAGTGATACCTACTTCCCTAATTCTATCAACTTCCCCCATTCCTTTTTTTTTTTTTTTTTTTCAGAACTGGGGATTGAACTCAGGCCCTTCTGCTTGCCAGGCAAATGCTTATGCAACTGAGCTATCTCCCCTGCCCCCAACTTTCCTGATACTTGATAATGATAATCTGTTTGGTTTTCTTTTTTTTGTTTTTTTGTTTTTTTTTCTTTTTGACACAGGGTCTTGACTAGAATTCACTATGTATCCCAGGCTAGCCTCAGACTCAGCACTTCTGCCTGCCTGAGCCTCCCGAGAGCTAGGATTACAGATGTGCACCGCCACACCTGGCTTGCATTCTTTGTATTATGATCAATTTGACTACAGGTTTGTCAATTCTATTGATCTCAAAGAACGAGCTTTTGGTTTCATTGAATTTTTTTTTCTTTGTCTTACGTTTTCTATATTGACTTATGCTTTTGATCCTTATATTTCCATTCTTTTGCTTATTTTTTAATTAGATTTTCTTGTTATTTTTTGCGAACTTGTTCTTGTTTGTTTTGGGTACTGGGATTTAACCCTATTATTTCACATACTGGGTATTTCCTGTTTCTTAAGGTGAAAGCTTTGTTCATTGATGGAGGCCTTTCTTTTCTAATGTAGGTATGTAGTGTTATAAATTTAAACCTACATACTCTTAACCACACTCTGCAAATTCTGCTATGTACTCATTTTTATTCTGCTCAAAATACTCTGTGATTTCTTTTAATTTATTTTTTCATGTTTGTGTTTTTTACAAAAGTATTTGATTTTCAAATGTAGAGATTTTCTAGGGATCTTTTTGTTACTGCTATTTAATTGAATTCTATTGTGGTTAAATAACCTACCTTGCCTGACTTGAATCCTGTTAAATTGATTCTTATTTTTATGTCTTGGATTATGGTCTCTTGGTAAATTATGTATACACTTGGAAAGTGTATATTTGATTGTTGGGCAGAGTGTTCTGTAAATGTCAGTTACATCAATTTAGTGTAGTTGAAGTATTGTATATCCTTACTGATTTTCTGTTTACTTTTTCTGTCAATTTTCAAGAGAGGTATATTGGAATCTCTGACAGTAATTGTAAGTTTCTTTTTCCTTTCAGTTCTGTTAGCTTTTGCTTCCTATTTTTGAAGCTGTGCTGTAAATGTATGCACATTTAGAATTGTTGTGTCCTTTTGGTGAATCGATACCCTTGTCGTTATGAAATGACTTTCTTTATTCCCTGGTGATATTGTTTTTCAAATCTGTTTTGATATTAATATAGCCATCTCCAACTTGGTGTATATTTTTATATACTTTTATTTTTATGTATAATATATTAAAATATATATACGTCTACATTAAACTTATTTTTATAGATACTATATAGATGATCTTTTTTTTGTCCAATTCAGTAATTTCTGCCTTTTAATGGGATTTAGACTATATTCATTTAATATAGTTATTGATACAGGCTTAAGGGTTTTTTTTTTTTATGTATTTGGTTGTTGGAGGGTCTCACTATGCAGATTGGATTCGTGGTGATCCTCCTGCTTTCAGCCTCCCCAGTGCTGGGATTACAGGCATGCACCACTATAACCAGACTCTGGCTGGTTCAGC